CACACACACACACACACACACACACACACACACACACACACACACACACACACACACCTCATACTCTTTGCACGAGAGAAAAAGTGTGAGAGTCTTGCTTGCTTTAAGAAGCACAGCGACAGAGAGAAAAATAACATCACCCAGCAGGGGATTCACTGAGCTTCCCTAGACAAATACACACTTTGGGAATATGTGTTCAGATCAATAGTAATAAATAAGTAATAAAGTAATACAGTTTTATATTCTTGAAGTTGAATTCAGTAAGAGGCACATTGGAGGAGCAAAATAAAGAAGTCTACAGAGATATGAAGCCACGCAGGCAGAGATTCCTGCAGAGAAGCCAATGCACTCCGTTTCTCTGCTTCACCCTGTGGGGTAAATGGGTTCGCTCTGTTTGTGAATGCATTTCTGCAAATGTTTGTGTGAGTACAGTCAACAAGCACACTTTTTCTGAGGCAGCAATAAACTAGAATAATTCCTTTTTCCACTGCATAACATGACACATGGAGGTAACAGAACCACAGAATGCATAGGTGGCAATTGTATGCCTCCCAAGAATCTTAAAAATAATAAAATTGATCCATACTAAGTGACTATAAACACAAATAAAAAATGGCATGAGTACATCTACGGACATTTAATTCTCTATAAGGTCCACTCCACCTGGAAAAGCGTGCTCTTGGATTAACCTCGTGTTCCAGCCTCTAAACAGCCACATTAAACCAACCATTCATCCATTTCTTTGATCCTGTGCAAGATTGTGAGGAACTAGTACATATCTCCAATGGACAGGTCATCAGTCTGTCACAGGGCAACATCAAGACAAACAACCAAGCACACACTCCCACCAATTTAAGAGTTGCCAGTTAACCAGTCGTGCATGCTATTGGTCTTTGAGAAGAAATCAGAATACCCACACATGCACAAGGAGAACATGCAAACTCCATACCAGTCAAAATAGACATTTGTTATCAGAAATTGCCATTGGCATTAGAAAAATGAGGCAGCTAGGAATGTCTGCTTTCAAAGAAAAAATGTAATGTAACATTGTAGGCTTCTCTCTTAAAACTTAACATTCCGAAACTGAACATAAAACAAATAACTGCAAAAAAAGAAAATAAAGTCTACTTAAAGAAAGATAAACCCTTTGCTTGAATGCCTGTTAACAGATTTTTATCTCTTGCTGGAAAAACACCTGACGGTAACAAAAGAGACTATTCTTCAAGCAGAAGACCTGAGTTCATATCCTTGACCTCGTCGTGCTTCACTGAACTGTCTGTTAGATAAACGCCAGCAGCTCCAAAGCTCCTCTGCTGTGTCTGACCACAGCAACCTGACATCCCTGTGGACTCTGAGAGTTTCTTCGCTTATGATCAGTCTTTCTTTTTGGAAAGTCTAGTTTTGGGATTTTAAGTCATTTTAAGAATGGAGGAGAACAGGAGACCCAAACAGACAGGCAAACCTTGATAAAATCAGCTGATAATGACAATCCCCCCCCCCCACACACACACACACACACACAAAGGTATTAACAAGAACATTACTGGAGAGTTGGTTTTGTTTTATTCACTTTCAATACATCTAACAAACTTTTTCACTCTCGCATGTAAGTCTCAAAAGCTAGTATTAAAAGTGTTAAATAAAGAAATATATTGCTGCTGCAGCAAAAAGCTTGTAAGCAAATTTACAAACAAATACAATGTCAATAGATCGAAAAGGCTTCCATTATCTCCTAAAAATGCAGTAAACAAAATTATTCATCTCCATTAGCTGAGGCTCAGTGGCTTCATTTGAGTAACTGAATGGTGCCTTCTTATTTCTTTCTGCCTTATCGTCTTTATAGAATACGGGTGAATAAAAAAGGTGGCTTATCATATTGTTTTGGTCAGCTCATTCAACTGCATGACAGATAATGAAGGTTAGAGAAGTGCAATGCTAATTTGAGCCGAGATACACTTGAGAAAAGTTCAAAGCTTTAGAAACCGAGCACACGAGCCATCACTTCACTCCATTAAAAATAAATGTGCTTTACTTAACATTCATCCACGCAGTCGATGGATTGATGGGTTTATCAGTAAAACAAGGCTCTTGGCTGTGGAGAACACAAGGCTGGAAAGTCCTTGATGCCAGAAGTAATAATATCAGATTAAACATGACAGTCAGACTTACAGCATTAAGGCTGGAATACCAATGTGATTCAGCAGAGAGCAGGAAACCACTGTCGTCTAGATTATTACCAGTAGTCTCAACCTCAACCAGAAAAACATAATGTACAGTCAGCAGCTACTGTATATAAAGCCAGATTACTTGCATTTAATTAAATTAGCTACATGGTAAAGACGTACGAAAAATGACATCCTCACCTCATTCAACTCAAATGCTCCAGACCCCTTGGTTTTGTCAGCAGGTGGCACAGACCATGAAGAGAGCTCCACACTATCCCAGACTGCAGATTGAGGGCCTCAGCACTCCCTGGTGAATAAAAACATCAAAGATTCAACCAAACAAAAGAGATAAATTACTTTATTTCTCTCTCAAAGTCTATGTCTAGCATCTTCATGCAGAATACGCCTCTGTACAAAGTGTTGAAGACATTAGCAAGAACAAAACATTGCAGAATGATTGTGGACACACAGCTGGGGACACATCACAAAGTCTGTCAGAGAAAGCAACACGTAACGCAGCTGCGTTTCACAAAGTGTTATAGAAATTTCTGCCCTCAAACAACACTGTACCGCAGCAGGAAAAATGTATTTTATATTATACTCTTCTCTCATCTGCATCTTTCATTTAAAAGACAAACATTTTTGTACATATCTAGATCATGGAGTATCTCTAGGAGAGGTTGGTGGCTTTTAATGGTCAATGTTGATACCAGTTTTTAGAAACCAGGGCAGCCAACGACCACTTTATGAAGGTAATTTATTCGTTTTTAGCCCATAAATATAACAGTTGAATATTTATTTAAACTGCAATGCAATAAATTGTTTTAAAAAAAAAAAGAACAAATTTGGGTATATGATAATCCTTTGTAAGAAAAGCATAGAGCTCAAAATCGATTATCTGGTAACTTTAATAAAAATAAAAATAAAAAGTTTAGTTTTTTTACACATCCTGCTGCAAATATATGCAATGCTTAAAAGACTACTTGTGCCACTGGAGATGATATCATCAAGTAATGGCAATAATTAGGACTCACAAACCATAAAACACGTTTAATTAGTAAAAAAAATTACAGGAACATATAAATTTAGTAATATTGTGGTTGACTTCTTTTAGAGTCTGTCAGTGTTCTGCTGAAAAAAGTACCTCAACTCTAAAAAAGATCTCCACTGCAGGGATAACAGGGAAACGCCGTCAGGTGCAACACCGATATGTCTTTTGATCTGCTTCGTACGCCTGTTTATTTGTCATCTAGTTTACCTCTAATGTTTTTAATGTTTTAAAACCTGTAAGACAAATACCAGGTCATATTTATGCCAAGAACCTGTTACATAAAACCATCTCTGGTTTTAAGAGAAGCTGACTTGAACAGCCACCCACACAGCCTTAAGAGACAGACCTGCAGATTGTCGACTGTGCGTAAATGCTCTTTGGGACTAATTAGCCAGGTTGTATTGGAATGATGGGGATATTACTGCAGAAACAAAACACATATATCCTGCTGTTAGTCAGCTGCAGCCTGTGTGTGTCTATGAATGTTTAAGGGATGAGTGTGGGATGACAAACATTCCACTGACCCACTTCTTATGAGTGTAACAAGAAGGCGGGGAAAGCTGGAGGTGTGGAAGTAAATGTGTGTGCAGCTGTCTGTTGTTTCACTCCAGCTTAGGTGGTTTGAAGACAACATTAATAATGACAGAAGATGCATTTCTACGCATACTTTTATTATGTGCATGATGACTCAATTCTACAAGGGACTGAGAGCTGCTGCAAACATAAAACATAGTAATGGAAAAGTGGGGCTGAGGGAGAAACCAAGGAAATGAATATGTGGTGTCAAAAGTGAAAAAATAAAATCAATAGGATTCTGTGGTGGGCTCTGAACTAAAGCCTTACATGAATCAAACTGCCTGCACACAGAAAACAGAAGGCTTTGAGTGAACTAAAGACGTTTGCAATGGTTTGGAAAGAGGAGGAAAATAGATGACTACTGAGGCACTGGATTAGCATGGCTGAAGGAAATCTATCAAATGGTATTAGACAGACATGAGATGGAGGGGTGAGCAGTAGTAGTGTAAGACACAGAGAGAACATCGACAAAGTGAAAAATGAGAAAAATGTTAAATGAAAGCTAATAGAATGTGGAGGAGAGGCAATGCAAAGTGATGAAAAAGGAAAACTGAGGGAGAAAACCCAGAGCAGAGTAGAAGTAGTAGTAAACAGTGTGACAGGGAGAGAAACAGATGGTGGTTGAGAAAAGACAGAAAGAAACTCACTGGGAGGACAGCGCTGGCACAAACAACGAGGCTCAGCAGGGAGCATAAAGCTGAAAAAGGTCAACAAAAAGGGAGGAGGGACACGATACAAGGGGGCGACGCTGGAGAGAGACTGAAAGCGCCTTCTGAACTATTTGAGCAACTTTTAGGGGAATGACAGTGTGACAGTATTTCATGTTATCAGAAAAGCCAAAGAATGACTCATATTGAACATAATATATTAGTTATACTGTACTCACAATAATAATTTTACATTACTGTGTATATTATAGTCTGTTACATAATGTTATATATACACACATTTGATGTCATTACATATCAAATATAAAACATTATAAATAATGATATAGCATTTATCAGCTATAAAACCTTTGTAACTTTCATTGACAAATGCTATAGTGATGATTATTATTGTGGTCACTACTAACTCGATGTGGCTAATGGTTACATCATTTATTGCATATTCACCTTTCATTAAATGTCCCATTATTTTTCCTTTTGTTTTATTGTAACTTTATTCTGTTTTTCCCATTTCCATTGATTTTAGAACCAGCTACTCTGAATATAAGTGTTGATGTAATTTTAGGCTTCTTTAAAAACATACAAAATACTCTGATTTTCTCAAACTCCAAAGAACAACTCAAGACATTGCATTTTAATCAGTGTTTGATTGAACAGCAGAACAAAGTGGAGAAGAAACACAAACGTCCTTTGTGTTTATGGCTTAATTATACAATTTGGAGTGATTCATTTTAGTGAGTTTTAAGATTTTTTTATTGTACTGACAAGTCAAATGGATTACATTTGTTTAGCAGGTGCTCTTGCTCAGTTTCCGTTTAGGTAGATGATTTTAACCGCGTTCTTCCCATTTCTAAGCAAAGACTACATTTAATGGTACATACTAAAGAATCTACCTAAAACAGAATAGGACAAACTTACAACAAGCCATCAGGTAAAAGGTAGATGTATTGATGGTACAGACAGTAAATCATCTTCACACAGTAATACAGCCACATGGACCTTTATAAATACATCCATAAAATCAAATAAATAACAATAAATATAATGAGTGATCCATATGTTCATATCCTTCTGCCATGGCTTTAAGAAACTTTAACGGAAAATTATATACAAGGAGAGAGACACACAAATACACAATTATTAATGTTGTTCTTTGGGAAAAGAAAAGCTTTGTGTTGGTTTTGAAGGTAGACACAACTGGAACTGACTTCAGGTCAGTAGGAAGTTTGTCTCAGGGTAGGACCATGCTAACTCAAACGTCTCACTGCAGACTTGGGTCTAATTCTGGGAGAGGCTAAAAAGACTGCACCTGATGAACCCGGGAGACTTGATTGAGTATTAGACAGCACATGAGTCTGAGATGTTCTGGGGAGACAAAGCGTTAAATGCCTTATAGAATACTGAGAGGATAATAAAAGCAATTTAATCTGAACTGGAAGCCATTAACATAATTTTAGTACTTGTGTAAAAATGAGAGTTACAGTAGCTTAATCTGCTCTGTGTCATTGGATGGACAAATTTCTCAGACTGTTTAAAATAAGACTGACAAAACAGTCCTGATTTGTATCATGATGGTAAAAACTGAGATTAGAGTCCAAAATAACGCTAAAGTCTCTGACCTACTCACTGTGTTTTACAGATGATGACAAATATTAACAAACTTTATGTCTCTGACTCATTAAACTAACAAGTATTTCATAATTATCTCTGTTAGGCTCTCAATCCTTCTGATGCATTTTACTAAAAATATCATCAATACAGATGCATGTAAATGTTAATGAGAAAAGGACCAAAAACCAACCCCTGTGGAACTTTTTTTTCCTGGCTGTCTCTGTGTGCCTGTTTATGTCCCAGGTTGGGTTTAGGTGGTCCTCCTCTGGATCAATTTTGCCCCCCCCCCCCCCAATTTGGTGTGTTGTGCTCCCCTCTGGTGGTGGGCCCCCTTGCCACCAGTGCATTGGTGGCTCTCAGCAGCTGGGGCTGGGTGGTGGGGTGTGTGCGGGCCTGCCCTGGTGGTTGCCTGTCGGGGCCTGGGTGCCCTGGCTCTGTCGGGCCTCTGTTGGGGGTGGTATGACCTTGGAACTCGGGGCTCGGTGTCCATGGCCGGATCCACTCTGGAGTGGCAGGTTGCCGGTGGGGCCTGTGGACTCGTTGCTGCAGCCTCCTGGGGTTTCTGCATTGTGGTTGCTGAGGATCGCCCGGGGCTTCCCTTTGCTTCTCTCTCTGGGGGGTGCGGGTGACTCTGTTGAGGGACTCCCGGAGTTCCAGGCTTGGGGGCCGCTGTGTGTCTGTGGTTCCGGTCTTCTCTGTGTTACCATCGTGTCCTGTGGGGACGGGTCTGTGGGTCCCCACATCCACTATTGAACATTTTTATGGAGAAACCTTATAGTGACAAGCATGCTCACACGGGTGTTTAGATTCAGGTGTTTATCAGATACACACTCAGTTGGGTTGTGGTGGCCATCAAATATATATTGTATTACCATGTACTGTATAAAATACTTTCTAATGATGTTATAAGTATCATTATATATGTTGTTTGTTGTTGTGGTTTCTCAATTTTGTCTTGTTTTTTTTTTCTTTCCGCAGGTCTAGAGGCAGACTTCAATGATGTTGATTTGTGTTCTCTTTATACCTCTCTCTCTCCTCTATTCTTATCTCCTTCTTTACCTTTTAACCCCTCTCTCACTTTTCTGCTTTGTTATCTTCTTTGTTTTTCATCCCCGTGTCCATTACATCTGAAACAAGTCCAAAGTAAATTCTAATAAAATTTAATTTTTATATCAAGTGGAGCATTAAGGCCAGCCATAATGCTCTGCTTGTGAAAAGTAAATCTGTTGAGCATCACTTTGACACAGACAATAATTCTAAGTGTCACAATGCCGGACAGGACAAGGGGAAAAAAAAAACCAAAAAAAACTTTGACTTAAAAAGATAAAGATCAAACAAAAAATAAATCTGATGCTTTTTGAGTCACTGT